CTCAAGAAGCTAGAGTTGCCCTCGGCTATCGCCTCGGGCAACTCTTACGCTTCTTTCGCGCTCTCCAAACTTCCCGCGTGCTCCATAACTCGATAGTGCACGCTAAAGCATGAACCAATTGTTAATTTGAATGTTAAAAACGCGAAAAACGTAAACAGCGCGCGCTTGACTAGATCAAAAATAAATAAATAAATAAATAATAAAAATAAATTAAAAGACCAAGGAACAACATAATTAAAAGGAAAGAGACAATTCTAGATGTTTCAATTGCTGATTAAGGATAGGTTTTTCCCACTTAATATGCAATGCCTCTTTGATCTTAATTTGGTAACAGTCAAAAATAACAACAGACTAGAATTCGGTTACTGTTTTATCAGTTTTACTTTAGCGTTGTTGCTATGTTATTTTTGACTGTTATTGTTTTATCAGTTTTACTTTAGCGTCATTGTTATGTAACTAGATACCAGGTTATTCCTCGTGCAATGTTATATGAATTCATCTGAGCTTTGGAATTTTTAACGATACATCGGATACAACTGAAGAGGTCTGTAGACGAAACTAGTTTTGTAGTAAGCATATGTAAATGTGCGTGGAAAGTAAATATTTATGAGGTTTTCCTTTTCAATACTGAGGTTTTCCTTTTTCAATAATTTTCAATGAGTAATACTTTCTTAGCTTCGGCAATCAGAATTTCGCAGAGCTTTCTTTTATCTAACAAATCTTACGTGACCAAAAAAAACAAGCGCGCGCGGGAAACTAGTCTTTACATCTACCATGTCAGCAGCGTACACCCCTGGGTAAATGGTGGACGCTCAGAGCGCGCACTTTACTTTAGTTATGTTATAAAGACAGTTTTGATTAATGTTTTTACCAATTATTCCTGATTACTTTGCCGTTGTTTTAATGTATCCGTCGAATACCTTTGATGTAATAGTCTAGTTTTTTAGGTACATACGATAAATGCATTCAGTATGACTGTCGGATCCAAAAACAAGCCTCTGTCTGTTGTTAAACTAAATTAGAGAGATTTAGCAAGAGGACGGGAACGTCAGTTGACAACGGCGCGCGGAGCAAAAATACCGGTAAGAAACTGGGTCGAGAACGTCGCCCCGTTGTGTTTCAGAAGTGATTTAGCAGTCGTTTCCAAGAGACGTCATCGCAATATCTGTTCTTCAATGGCCTAAACTCGGCTTTTCAAAGATCGCCAACATAAATTTTCGCTTTCACAAACAGCTTTAAGGACAACGAAACTATCCTCCTTGAGAGTGATGCAACAAGCGCAAACAGAGGAAAATTATAGTTACGGTATTAACTCGTTTGGATCGATTTACAAATACACAATTGACGGAAATCTCAGACGTTCTGATCGCGACGGGAAAACCAGCGAAGTGACGTCCAGAACTTGTTTGGGAGAACGGCAACGCTAACGCCGGAAGTCGAATGGTGTCGTGTCCAGACTATTCCGCGCGCTCTCCCGTTCTGAAATGACGTTCCCATCCTCTTGCTAAATCTCTCTATTATCAATGCAAATGGAACATTTGCAAAACCGTGATTAGCTCCATTTTGGGCATATTTTTTCTGGGTGACGTTCAAAAGCATGATATACCAGACCCTCAACTCGATAGAGCAAGGAGTAGAACCGTTAAAAACGTTTCTCGTAACCGTTGAAGACAAATTGGTTTAATACGCTCGGCATTTCCTTAGCCCAGAATGTAAATGAAAGGTAACATTAATTGCATCTAAAGAGTTCCCTACAGCTGATTTTTCTCTTTTCTAAGAAATCAGGCATCGAGTACCAGTCATGACCTTGAATCACCTCTAACAATCTTTGGCCGGAACACCAAAGCTATTTATAACTGTCATACACTTTCATGCAAAATTCAAATTTCGGCTTATAGCCAATCATACAGAAACCGTAACAGCTTCTACAAGCGAATTGTGAGCTATGTGGATGCCAAGATTTTCTTGTAACAGCGATATAGCTTGATTCTGATAGCGATCTTATGAAAAGGTCTTTCTGGCTACAAATTAGCTCACATTCGAGACGCACGAGTTTGGATGCATAATTTTCACTTTCTTAGGTCGCTAGATCTTACAAGCTAGCTATAGCTTTAAGCGTAGAGTTTCACATTTTTTAAAAACGGCTGGCCTAAGCGTACATTACATCACATGATTTATTATTTTGTAAATTTCCAACTTTGCCGATAACGCAAAAAGTTAGGATCATTTGTTCATATATTTCAGCCATTTTCACTTGGCGTTCAACGCATTGAAGCAGACCCATGGACAGATAGGCAGCGTCCTGTCTATCTGAATTGATTCCAAACGTGTTTTCCCAGCGGTACCAGGTGGACAGGGTCAACGATATGATGTTGAAGTACTGATTAACTGCTTATGAGAAAAGAAGCAACTAATAATCTTTGACAAGATCACATATTACTGAGTCCTTAAAGTTTNGCTTTACTTTGGTTATGTTATAATTTGCAATGAAACACCCCTTACCGGCCAAGTCTTAGGTACCTACTGTAATAACATCACAGACCAAGATTCAAATGAATAATTATTCGCACTAATTGGTATAAAATAACCTTAAAATACAAGCTCGTAGGCTGATTATAAAATCAGGATTCTTGGAATGAAGCCAGGAGAGGGGCAGTTCCAGATCTAAACAGGTGCATCCCATTCTTGTATTTACATTTCTATTAAAAATTTTAAGTCACGTGGGTTTTCGTTTTAACTTCGTAAGTTAGGAGGAGTTTGGTTTCCTTGTTTGTCCATTTAAAGTTGCCTTCACTTTAAGCCTCTTCGAGGAAACAAAAGAAAGTCCACCAGCTATTCTTTACATTTTTGAAGGCTAATAGGTGAATAAGTGAATTTCAATTGACCCTGACTTGTCAAAATATTCGAAGTTAGTTCACTATAGAATTTGACGGTTGCTCAAACTTTCATTTATATGAGTTTGTATTCAAGTTTTGTGATAATTCAGAACTCAAGGAATGAAAAATGGTTGGGCCCTTTCATAATCAAATTCGGACACTCTTAATATGAGCCTTGGGCTTCTAAGATTACACAAGCTCTACCTGTGTTATTACCATAACATACATTTTCTGTGCGTCAAGAGGTGGCGCTTTTATAACCTCGCGCCAAACTGAAAACACGAGGATGTTTACTCAAGACGCTAACAATTCCTGTGAAAAAAAGCAGGCGTCTATTTCGGCTTCCTTCTAGATCGACCATTAGCATCGAAGAAGTGCTTCAGCGCTGATTTCATGTTAACGGCTTAAAGAGGACACAAAGATCATTCTTGAAATTTCCATGTTATTACCTTTCGAAACACTTCCCTTTTTTCCCAGAAAATTAAAGTAGCCGTATTGTTTGTAACATTAGCTAAAAATAGGGCATGAGTAACGCATTTGAATGAGATACTCGACACGTTTTGCACAAGATTAGTACTCTCAACGTTGGCCGGCAAGCATGAAATTTCTCACATGCAGTTTGCCTTTTGTTTGTACACTGATTCAAGGTAAGTCGACTGTTATGCTCAAGATAAGCATTTGCGATGTATTTAGCTATCGAGATGATGGGAAAAAGCTCGCCGTTTCCTAGTATTTATTAAATTAGAAATTGGAAACCGATAGGAACAACTTTGACCACACGCATTTTACGTTCAGTGTATCACCAAAGCGATTTTAATCCCTACAGAAAAAATACAAACACCTTCACTGATATCAAAACGTTACAGTGCACTTAAAAGGATCGAAAATCACTTATGGAAGAGTTTTCAATGAAAAAAGTAAGACCTATCTCTGTAAAATAATCACTGATTTTCCGCAAGGAAAAGTATGGATTTAATTACGACAAATTCCTTAATTAGCGTCTTAACCGTTTATAGACTGCCTGCTTTTCTCGGAAACACTGAGAAAAAAGATTCATTAATATGTTAGTGATGACACAGCTTTTTATTCAATAAATCAAGAAAACATTTAAAAATGCTATAGTTGTAATTACGAACAAATTCCTTAATTAGCGTCTTAACCGATTTATTATCATACCTGACTATGATAATAAATAAAATGTTTTTTGTTGTCACTGACAAAAAAGCTTGTTTGAAACTTTTTGTGAATGAACTATTTGTGAATGAACGTGCTTGGGCAATTGTTTGTAAATGTTTTCCGCAATCCTTCGTTCCTCTGCCCGACATTGATCTCTGTGTAGAATCAAAATGGCTACTATCGCGATAAAAATGAGAGTTTCGTTATGCGTGTAAACGTATAGCTATCTATTCCCTTCGCAGGAGACATTTGCTGAAATTCGTCCGGAAACCTAAATACTGAGGAGGAAGTGTTCTTGACCGGATTAAAGCGTTGAAATTTGAATTGAAATAGTTTTAGAAAAGGTGGTTAACTGTTTATATATATCTTCTTACATAGCGTTTCAGAAGTTTCTTCTTTTTACCCGGGGGTCTAGCTAGATCTGGGTCAAGACGATATTCTCTTGACCTGAATAAAATCAAATTTAGAATTTTGAAGATGACCTTAACAATCAGTTCTTTTTGTATTCGAATTTTGCAGCTACAGTGGCAACTGCAGGAGATGTCTGTTCTTATGTGGCTATAGAAACAGTTAAAAGTCAGTTCGGGATTGGACGCGAGCCTTATTTACAACAGATCAAAATATGAAAATGATAAAGATTTTCTAGTCTATCGCGCTCAGAAAAATTCTGAACAATTTGCTTACATGAAAAAAAATGAATCAAGAGGGAGTTGTTCTGGTCCCCTGTCGGATGTTTGTAAGGAGCGTAAGGTAGAGTTTAGGGGCGATAACCAAACACTGCTGGTGAAGATCTTCAATACCACTGTCAATGATAGTGGACAATACGCAGTGTGGGCCAGCTTTAAGCAACTTCATCCTGACGAGAAAACAGCGAAATGCCTAAAAGTGATTCATGTCAAAGTAGAAGGTAAGGAATGTATATGTCTGATTTACAGTATTCAGGTCTACACTTTTTTCCCGCTATTGTTACCCATAAGAGAGTCAGGAGATATCTAAGGGTACCAACGTAATCCCGCGATAAATAAATATATTTAAGTAACATATACCATTTACATTATGTATATATACACTCTTTACATAGAGACCACTATCTCTCTTGCTCTTGTCCCTTTATATGTTTTCTTAGCGGAATTTACTTTTTGGAAATTTTTTCCTAAACTTGGGGTATCTCGCATGATTGCGAACAATATCTGACATGACTTAATATTCATGCTGTATAAATCTATTACGTTTCTTTTAAATCCATACGTGAAACGCACAATTTGAAATAATGTTATTTATTTTTTAGATAACTCCACAGAAACCAGGACAAGCCCTACTCCTCAATCGACTCGGGTCACTAGTCCCAGTAGCAGCTCAGCAGGTCAGCGTTTAACTTACTAAATGGAGTAGTCAATCATAGTCTGTTGTAACACAGCTTTATTGAACGCTTACCCGATCCAATTGAGTTGATAATACAATCGGCTACTAAGTAATTCCGGTTATCATTTCATAATCCTCCCATTTTCTTTCCGGCTGAAAGAAACGCTCCCTGAAACAATGAAAAAGAAGCAAAATAGATAATCGTCAATGCCATCTTGAAAACGATAATAGAAGCCACAAAGTAAAAGATATGGCACCTTCACATAGTGAGTAGTCTTAAGATTTGTGCCTAAATATTACAAAAAAAATTCCCTCGAACTCAAAATTTTATGGTTTGTCATTACTATACCAACAACACATAGAAAGAGTAACCAGTAGCCTTCAAGATTTAGGGATGACTAGCAAATTCGGCACCAAAATTTCTTTGCCCTGSCCGGTACTAGCATTTAATCCAAAATCTCTCCTTTTGAGCAGAGATATAAGATTCCTACGTCTCTACCTCGCAGTAGTACATTTGTAAATGTGCACAACGCCTCTGGATAGGCTTGAAGTTTTGAGATTGGACCGAATACTGGTAAATCAGTGTAAGCGTTTACGACACCCTCACATAAACTAGGAAACGACTAGTTTCTCTGTCAACTTAGGTCTGCAACAGTAGATTTAATTACCTAGTGAGCAGTTCTGACCTTAGCTTTTCCCCATTATTTGCCCTATCTCTTTTACATATCACTCTCACCTGCTGGCCTACTCACCAGAGTGAATATTGCATCTTTTATTTTCCAGGTCTCACCAGCTTAGGGTGGAAGACAGTAACAATCACAGTGATTTTGGCTGTCACTGCTGTAAATAAGTATTAGTTGAAAGTAGAAACAAGAAAATTGATCAATATCTGTCGATGAAAGGAACCTGACCATCAATCTCCTTCCTAGCATCCTCTCTCTACCTCCCTTCAGAAAGGGAGGGAAAGAGACATGTGAACGAGGCTGCCTGACCATTTGAACTCTGAGAGATATCGCCGTCACGGTTGTTTTCAACCAAAGCTCCCCGATCGACACAATAAACGGCAGCGTAAAATTCACCTTTCTATCACTGTTGTTGTAGATTTAAACATTGTCTATACTGTTGCATTAACCATTAGATGAATCTAAATGCAATATATGATGAAAATTGAAAATAATAACCATCATACATGCAGTAAATATTCGGACATTTCTTGTTGCGCATGGCTGACGGTGATGGAGGAGTGGTTCTTCTTCTTGTCATCAGTCATGGACGAATGTTTGACGTGTGCGTGAGGCTAATGGTCAAGCCGCATTCTCGTTCCAAAAAATTACGGAAAGACTATGAGACAGAGAATTGTCAGACCGAGGTTATTTTAAGGGGTTAAAGTGAGTCATCGTTAAGTTTTTGTTTGGTAATATATGTACTATTAGTCTATTTTAGGAGGACTTATCAGAGCTGAACCAAATGTAGGCTTTACTACTGTTATGAAGGTTAAGTATTAGCTAACACTAACCGGATGTCTCTATAAACTGTAGCTATCAAGCCTACGAGTTTTTCAGTTAACTTTTTATTTGCCAGCAGCTGCACGTATCCTCGACAGTATACGTTGATTCTTAGAGGTCTTAAGAAACTTAGCCAAACATACGCTTCGTTACATTTATGAAGGTTGACCATTAGTCTACCAGATGTCTCNGTAATATATGTACTATTAGTCTATTTTAGGAGGACTTATCAGAGCTGAACCAAATGTAGGCTTTACTACTGTTATGAAGGTTAAGTATTAGCTAACGCTAACCGGATGTCTCTATAAACTGTAGCTATCAAGCCTACGAGTTTTTCAGTTAACTTTTTATTTGCCAGCAGCTGCACGTATCCTCGACAGTATACGTTGATATTTAGAGGTCTTAAGAAACTTAGCCAAACATACGCTTCGTTACATTTATGAAGGTTGACCATTAGTCTACCGGATGTCTCTGTAATTACACGCCTATGGTTGTTTAGTGTTCTGTAGTGTTTTATCAGTTGAAAGTTTGCATTCCCCAGATCCTCGAAGTATACTTTGATATTTAGAGATCTTAAGAAACTGAAACAAACGTACGCTTCGTTACAGTTCTGAAGGTTGAGTTTCGCCTGCCGAATGTTTCTGTAAATATCAAGCCTACGGTAGTTCAGTATCTTCAGAGTGTTTTATCAAAGTTTGAGTTCACGAGCAGCATTGATGTTCCTTAGTTAACAGTTAACCCCTTGACATTTTGTTTGCGACGACTGATCCACTTCCTTTCACCTTGCATGAAAACCATGTGAACTCCCCCCTCAAAAAGTTCTCCACCCCGTCCCCAGGCGATTCATAATGATGGGTCCCCAAGTTTCTTTACCAACGGGAGATGTGGTGATTTCACTTGATTGTCAAACAGTTAAATTTCTTATTAGGAATGTCCATTCCGTTACAGCGTTTCAATCCTCAGGATTGAAACGCTGTTCATTTTTCCGGCCAGGTCACTCGGTTCTGAATGTGCTATTCGAAAGCACCAAGAAATCTTGGCAATTTAGGAATTGGATCCAAGTTGCAATGAAAACTTTATTATGAGAGAGGCGTGGAATATGAGTGGCTCCTGATAAACACGTGAAGACAAATAAAAAAAATATGCCATGCTGTTGTGTGCGCCTTTTCGTGGAATTTCACAGTATCAAAATTAGCCACATTATTACATCTTCCTGCAAATTGGATTAATCAATTGGATTAATCAAGGCGATGAAGAAAAGCTCGATATTTTGGATATGTTATTTTGTGATTCATTGCGTCACAGGTAAGCCAAACAGTTCTTTGCGTGAGTTTTTGGGCATGATTTATTATCGGCCAATTAAAAGTCCGTCCCTGGTGTCTAAAACGATCTCGGGTCGGAAACCCGAAGAAAAGAAGGTGAATATTATATTTTAAGTATTTTACAATCCACGGTTAATATGCAGTTCTTACCTCTAACTCAAAACGCTATACCAAATTATTTTTCTGAATTAAAAGTGACAATTAATGCGAACTTTGGAGCATCGGTGTATATCGGGTCGACGAAATTAATCATGTTAATCATGCCACACTTTTTCAGAAGAAAAAGTTCGCGGCGTGAATATGAATGGTACGGTAGAAAAGGCGATGAACTGCTTATTTATCCTTAAAGAGCNCTCTAGGGGTTTTAGGAAGGGGGGGAGGTGAGGGGAGAAGGGAAAGGAGAGCTCTCCTTTCCCTTCTCCCCTTCCCCCCTTCCCCTCCTCCCCTAGAGAGCTTGATCCTCAGGCTGTGTCACTCTAAAATTCTTTAATACTCAAAGATCGGACAGTTTTGCGAAACGTGAAACTCGCGAGTATTTTTTCGGCCTTGTTTTTGCTGCTTGTTGGATCAGGACCCAAAAGGTCAATGCCGATAGAGAAATTGGGCAGTTCTTCGCTACTTTCTTCCATAATTTAAGAGAAGGAAAACAGCACTGCAGCTTAGCAGGACGGCAACTCTGGAGCCAGGTAAATAAAAAAAGCTCGCGTCATATCATATACGCACGGGCGTGCATATAAAAAGATTTTGTTCATGGCGACTCAATAGGACTAAATTAAGGCAAGCACGCGTGCTATATTATAAATATTTCTTCTGACAGTGAAAAGTGATGTATTGTAATCTCTGTTTCTTTTTCCCTGTTTGGTCGATAGTGGTAGATAAACTGGGTAAGATAAATATGTCGCTATATTCTAGCGATCTTGTTATTTCAGTTGCCAATGAAAAGAAAGTGAATTCTTTCGACGACTTATTAAGTTACAGTTGCATCTCCCGGCTAAGTCTACACTCGTGGGTTGATTGCGTGACCATAATATACGCGGCCTAACCAGGAGTGATCATGAGTCAAGTTTATCTCTTGGATTTTTGAAGGGTCTGAGTTTTCGGGGTCTGGGTTTTCGTGACACCCTGTTTACCATTCTTTTTTTCTCAATAATTAGACACCTTCCACTGATGCTCAACAATCAGTCAGCTGACTGGCTACGCTAACTAGCTAGCACTGTGACGTACAGATAACAATAACACTCTGTCATCTTAAAGCTAACTTTTGTATGTTAAGTCCTGAAGCAAGTCTCTTCCAATGAACATGATTTTCGAAGCTGCAGCCTCCTTCACAGACGCCTGTATGGCCATCTTGACAGTAACCGCTGGGAGGGAAAATAAAATTAATACTAAAATTTTTTCTTGTTGATGCACATGGTCCGCACGTGTTTTATTAGTATCGTGTAGGTACAGTATAATAGTTCATATCTGCAAAAACCCAGTAAATTTTTCTTGAAAATTTAAATTAAAAATTTGTATAAAATCGAAATTGATTTCTCAAGCGCCGCACTCCACTAACCCTCCATACTCATGATATACAGAACTTGCTAAGAGGAAAATACATCCTCTGACAAATAAGTCTTTAGCTTAGTTGTAACTAAAGCTACCAGTGATGATTTCCTAGTGAGGAGCTTAACAGGCTTTACAATGGAGAGGACCGGCCTGAGGCTTACCTGCTCAATCATGAAAAATCATATGATTTCCCGGAATCATGGGAAGCCTCGGTGTTTTCGTTCTATTTATTTTTGATGGAAAATTCTCATCAAAGCGTAAGTTGCTGTACCGTAAAGAAAAGCTTGCTGTTGGCTGTGTGTATTTTCGGCTCTTTTCGCTTTGTTTCCAAAGAAGAAACGACTAAACTTGAATAACCAAGCATATATATAGTAGAGCAGCATTATTTTGTCACTCTAAACGATGAAAGCATTTATACTTACGATCGTTAACGTGGTGGTTCAGTGCCCCATTGGTAAGTCAAAAGTGGATTTCTCGTTAATGTTGAAAATGCTACTGGAAATTTTACTGACAATGTTTTCACCCTTACATCATACTTTGGAATAACGAACATTTTGGTGAACACTATGATGCGAAACTGACAAACACAAAACCCGAAGTTTTCGATATTTTGTAGTTGATTACGGAGCGAGAGGTTCGATAACCTGAAAAACCTAGCTAAAATACATTATACAATGACCCTTTTTTTATACACAAAAGATGAACAGATACGAACTGAAGGGAAATGTTGGAGAACTGTGGTCTAGGCAGATTGAGCTACCTAGTCAGTACATATACGTGTAACTTGTTATGAGGCGGAACCAGTCAAAGTGAAAGTATCGACACGGCACCTTTTTCGCCTTGATGCCGGTTTACTAGGAAACCAGCTGCAGGTGGGTCGATCAAATGTAAATTAAGGCTCTTAAAAGGGTGGTCGCCTTCAAATTTGGCTATGAATAATTAATGATGTCCACTCATTCTGCCCAATGAAGTCGAAAGCGAATGTTGCTATCAGGCGGGAACACAAACATCCCTTATATTGCTGTTTCAGTACATTTTCGGTTGAAAGTTTCTATCCTAATACACTAGAATTAGTGTATTAGGATAGAAGCAAATTCCAGCTACAGAGCACTGTCCGAGGCTTTTAATTTCGTTCGCGTGTGTTACAAGGAAGTTCTCTCGTAAACAACTGATATGACTGGAAGGAATACGTTACCGCAGGCGAATATAATTATAAATAGTTTCGTGTAGACTCCCATAAATACATATAATTAAACGTTTTGCTGTGTAGTATCGCTGAGTATTTTTACGAGTTGTGCCGTATTTTGACCAACCCTTAGGGCGACAACTAACGAGTAAAGAAAGGGGTTACGTTAAGGTTTATTAAATTCTCACCAACGGTGAACATTCTCGCTCCTGGTTTAGTCTTACCTACTAGTTGGTTTCTCTCCATGCCAAAGTGAACCATTGCTTTCTACCACATAAAAAAACTATCATGATTTGATTGAAATATCGAGAGAAAAACTCTCTCGTCATATCTCTTAATGAGCGGTGAAAGAGTAGTTTTAGGACTTCAGATACAAAAGTTCCTTTTTGAAGGAGTGTTTGGTACGCTTCCGATTATGCTATGGCTAGCTACTGAGCAGTCTGTAAAAGGTGTGCAATCATCGAGAAACGAAAAAAAAAAAAACAGATAACCACAGGCCTTATTATGATTATCCTCTCTGGAGAGGAAAACTTACCGTTATCATAATGGATTCTCAAGATTTAAGAGAACATATTTTCAGTTAAAAATAGGCCCAACGTCATTAAAGCTGAGAAGTCCTTTATGTATGCGTTATTAACAAAGCGTTAGGTCATGATGGTTGGACATTGGCCGAGTTCTTTTTTCGCATTTTTATGGACTGAGACGAAGTCGAAGTCCATAAAAATGCGAAAAAAGAACGGATAGAACGGAAGGGGGGTCGGGCTCGGTCGTGGTCGATTGAGTGTCCAATGGAGGATTATAGAAAATTGACTGCCAATGAACCCAAAAGAGGGATCAGGTAAATTTTCAGTTAATGTGACACAAAACAATACACTCCACCCCGCCCCCACCCCACCCCCCCTACGAAATGAATAATGATTGATGCCTTCTCATTTAAAGGATCTATTCAAGCCATAGTGTACCCAAGAATGATCTACGCTCCAAACAAGACAACAATAGCCGTCATTGGCGAATCTGTTTCATTAGAGTGGCGCTACAATTCAGGAGATCTGAAGGATGATCTTTACGAGGTGGTTTTTGGTATTTGGAAGAGTCCTGGGTTCCTGAAAACAAAGTTGATAGCTGTCAACTCAAGTGGTTTTTCCTTAACGAGGTCTACGTATAAGTCATCGTTGGGTTGGGCAGGAAATTTGACATCCTCTATGGCTGTGTTTGAACTTTACAATGTAAAACTTGAAGACAGCAAAAAGTATGGAATTGTGGTAGAATATGGCCTCCAAAATACCCCGTTGACTGGCACAGTTCAGCTTCAAGTTGTGTCCAGACTTCAAGTTGAGTCCAGACGTAAGTATTAACGTTCAAGACAGGTTAGAGAATGTTCGTTCTAAATCAAAATTGTACTGCGGATAAGGTTATGGGGGCTTTTTTTAGTTCGATGGGATCAAAGATTTAGTTCCTTAATCGGAAGGGTCCTTGAAATCTCCTAAAAGAGAGGCTGCACTGAATTTTCAAGAGAAATCGATAGAGATCACTACGAATTGTGAGTATAATTCCTTACACTGGAATTGAAGATCATTTTTTTTCATAAATATTATTGTTTCACTGTTTCGTTCGTGAATGGTCAAACACTACGTCTAGTTTTTGTAAGATTTATCCAGACAATTTTGTTTGCAGCCATTCCTAATCTACCAAGAACTGAGATCACCAATATTTTTCTTGCATACTGTTTCGGGAAAAAAAAAGAGATAAATGGAAAAACAAGGAAGAATACAGACTTCAATAAAAAATTGTGTGAGATGCTGAGGGTCTAGCTGTTGAAATGATACTTTATTCTCAACTCTAAACTAAAATTTTTTACTCTACCGATTGTATTTCCTCAGTTAAAACTGCTAGGTGTGAAAGTTAATTTTGCATAAATTTAAACACAGATCCACCAAAAACCGCTACTCTACAACAGACGAATGTCACCACTAACAAACTTGGGTCTCTGAAAACGGTGAAAGGTAAATGTTGTTATCTTGCGGATCGATCCTCCCATCCGAAGTTACAGAATGTACATGTATGCACCAGCTAGATTATTGGTCAATTACACAAGCACTGCAGATGAAACTACTTTTCCTACCTAATCAAGAATTTTACGTTGCCATGATAAATTTTTGTCTACTTACTTCTGTACTACCCACTCTACAAACCTAATGAACAGTTTTAAGTTTAGACTACAAATGATTTCGCACAGTAAAAGTTCAGATATTTCAGTCCAACATGTAAGAATACTTTCGAATTTCATTCCTACTAATTAACCTCCAAACGGACCTTGATACTCATTTAGTCGCCTACCTTTTTATCAACTTATCTGCTTATCCAACCACTACAGTTTGATCAACGATTTTTTTCATATCTGTTCCAGAGCCCAGAGGTTCAGTGCCAAGAAAAACATTAAAGAAATTCCCCTTTACATTGGTGGTAGCATCCGGAGTTATCCTATTTGGTGTCATAACACCTGTTGTGCTGAGGCTTTGGTTTCACCATCGAAAAAAAGTATCAAATTCGGCTCACATCAGTAATTATAAGGCTGATGAGTTCGAGACAAACTTCGTTAGCCCAGCTCAGCTCGGCTAAATTATGCCATATGGTAATTGTGGGCAATGCTAGTGTCAGAAGATCGAGAATAGGGAGCTTACGAATCGATTACTTCTTTCTCGACGACGACTTTATGTGACGTCATGGACTTCGTCGTCGCCGTTTGCCATTGCGCGCCAAATTTAACTTACGAGCTGCGGACGTCGACGCAGAGATTTCCCGCCAAATTTAAGTCGCAGACTGACTCTTTTTTGTTTAGATAGTTTTKTCAACGTGTTGATTAAAATGCCAAACTTCAGAGAGAACAGAGAGTATATCGCATATGCCTACAGAAAAGGATTTATCACCGAAAGGCAGTTTATTTTGCTGTATGATACCAATACTTCGAAAAACCCCGACTTTCGGTACGAGAAGTATGATCGATTCGATTTAGACGAGCTGGGAAATGACCAGTAGAGAGCTGAATTCCGATTTTACAAAATGAAATTTTTAAGCTTGCTGATTTTCTTCAGTTACCAGATGAGATTGTTACTTGCAACGGCCTAGTGGTTGGATCGATTCCTTGACAAAATCTTTCAGTATATCTGACTGAATCTACGCATCGCTTGTTTTGCATCTTGTGAGTGCTCGAAACCGTCTAAAGAACATTTGATTACTATTAAAAACGGATTTAGAGCCAATAAATGGATAAAAACTTAGAACTTTTGAATGAAGAAGACTAGTTCCTTTCACAGTTTATCCCTCTTGGTATCTGAATGGACCTTAAAACGCCAATTTCTTTTTTTATTTTTTTTCCTCACCGTGCGTTTGAAGGGCTTGGGTCATTGTTTTCGCCGTTTGACCTCTTTCCTGTTTGATAAATAAGAACTATGACGTAAATAACATTCAAGAAGCAAAAAACTGTTTCAGAAAAGCTCCCGTTAGTATATTTGAAAGGTGTTTGGGGATTAAGCGTTAGATTTAGGAAATATTTCGAACAAAACGCGCCTTTCGACGCGTGGCTGCGAAGTCGACTTCAAAACAGCCCTCAGTTTTAAGTCGTCGCCTCCTTCAAGACGACGCGCGAAATAATGCCTCATCCGGTAGCACATGCTACTTCTAGTGTTGAGACGTCGTCGTCGTCTGGAAAGTCATCGATTCATAAGCTCCCTAATAAGGCTAGTAGAACGACTGAGATTCTTGAGCAAAACGCGTGCCTACGTTTCTTTTATTTTAAAAATGATGTTTTTATGTGGAGTAAGCCTTTTGTCCCAGTAATGCGTCTCACTTTTCGGTGACAGGAAGGGGGGTGGGGGGGGCCTTGAAAAGCTTGTAAGTAAATATTAATATCCATGAAAAATGAGTCTATACACCGAAGACTGTTAGGTTTGGACTGGTACAGGCAGTTTACATATTAGCCCTTCCTTAAGATTGAGCGATTTGTTCAGCATGCAAGTCGTAAGACTTAAACAGAGCCAATGGCTGAGCACCAGGCCAACGCATTTAATTGCGAAATGACTTCAGTGTATTACCGCATTGGTATCTGTACGCGTGTTATTAGCAATCAAGCAAGCAAGCAAGCAACAAGCTCAATTCGAGCTTCTTAAAAAGGTTTAGTTTCCCTCCCACCCACCGCCCATAGACACTTTTGATTAGTGTTTGTACTTTATTTCTCATTACTGTACCGTTGTTTTAGTGTATCCGTCGGATACCCTTGATGTAATAGTCTAGTGTTCTATGTACACACGATGTATACATTCATAATTCTCTGGTCCAAAAACAAGCCTCTGTCTATTGTTAAACTGAATTATCAATACAAATGGAACATACTGATGCAAAACCGTTAGCTTCATTTTGGGCATATTTCTTCAGGGTGACGCTCAAAAGCATAATGCTCGAGTTTTCGAGCATGATATACCAGACCCTAAACTCGATATAGCGAGGAATAGAACTATCAAAAACGATTCTTTTTACCGGTCAAGTATTGTTGCGATGCCCTAAAATATATGTCATGGTCGAAATGAAGTCAATTTGGTTTAATACGCGCGCCATTTCCTTAACCCTTGCTAACATGTTGACGCATAAATTGGATTTGAAAAGTTCTCACGCTGCTGATGCTTATCGTTTCTAAGAAATCAAGCGTCGATTACTAGTCATGACCTTGAATCAGCTTTAACAATGTTTGGCCAAAACACCAAAAGCTATTTACAATACAACTGTCATACACTTGCAAAAATTCAAATTTCGTCTTCTAGCCAATCATGCAGAAACTTGCAGCTTCAGCAAGGAAATTGAGCTATGCAAATGCCAAGATTTTCCTAGCACACATTCGAGGCGCGCGAGTTTGGATGCATGATTTTCACTTTCTTAGGTCGCTAGATCTTACAAAGCTAGTTTTTTAAGAGTAGACGGTTTCACATTTTTTAAAAAGACTGGTGGCCTAGGCGCACATTACATCACATGATTTATTATTTTGTAAGTTTCTAACAATGCCGATGACGCGAAACGTTAGGATGATATGTTGATGCAATTTAGCCATTTTCACTCGGCGTTCAACTCAGTGAAACAGACCCGTGGACAGATACGCAGTGTCCTGTCTACCTGAATTGATTTCAAACGTGGCTAACCGGCTGCACCAGGTGGACAGGGACAACAATATGATGTTGAATTACTGAACTGCATTTGTTTTTCCTGATGCATATGGGCACCACGTGCTCTACAAAGCTGTCAACTCCACGGAGGTATTTTAATCCTAAATCTTGAATTCGTAAGACTTAGAGGGGGCGTCTTTAGTTTGCTCAAAGTGAACGCCTGAAACACGCTGGGGAGAGGTAGGGACTTACTAGATACTGAGCAGGTATGAAGCCTCGCTTGTTCAAGCTTGTATCATCAAATCTGTTTTTCTTTGCTTTCTGATTTTTCTTTTTATTTATAGCTTATTCATTGTTCGGTTGCATGTGTTACTCTTAGTCATGATTGGCTGTTAATGAAAACCTTGATCAATTAGAAATTAGCTGCCATAAATCCCTAAGCAACCCTGTTTTCTCGGAATTTTTCCGGATGGGTTAATGTCCATCATAAAAAACGATCGATCAAGGCTATTATTATATATGCCTTACGTTTTGGGGTTGAACTGGTATTGAAATTATCCCTACAGGTTTTCTTTGGAGCCCTCCCGTGACAAGGAAAAGCGAGCTGTGTTGACGATATTTTTCAAAACTATGAAGAGACCATTTGTCCTTTCAGTTTGTTCTCTTGCGTTTCTCTCCTCCTCAGGTAAGCCAAACGACATGATTAATCTTTCAATAACTCAATTCTGAAAGCTGGGATATTGTTGTAGTGAGGTAGAAGAACTTTCGATACGTCAGCGACCGAACTGAAACGCAGAGTATCCTTCTCAGAAATATGGCAAAATATCCACTTCTTCGTTGTCATTTGACTACCTAAGATGTGTCTTAGCTGAACTTCCGAGTATAATAATTAGCAAGAAGCACTGAGTAGCTTGAGTGCATCTGGTACAGCTTTGTCTTATCGTTGTGAACTAAATGGAAAGTTAACTGTTTTTGCTATAACGAACGAAGCGACGAAGCGAATCGGTAATCATAATGTATTTATAACTTTTGAAAGCAGACACTCGCTTTCAGGAAGCTTCAGGTCAAGGCTTAATCGCTGAAGTCTTCGTGGCAATTAAAATATCATTACATCAAGGTTTGTAGAAACTGACTAAGAAGACCCATATGTGCATTCTTATTCAAATAAAACACCTTTTCCATGGACGAGTTCCGCGTAATCTAAATTCGTAAACAACGCCTTCTCCTCGACATTGTCATGCACCATTAGCCAAAAGGTCAAATTCTCCGAAAAGCGTATTGATATTTCATCAGCCAACTTGTAAATATCGCCTGCTCAATACTTTGAGACTAAACAGTCCGGCTTACGAGCCCGGTTTTCATGACTTAATCAGTTTGCTCTCAATCATAGGAGAATACTCGTATCGGCAGCCACTCTGACTATCACAGTAAGTTAGTTGTTTCGAAAGCACTGGTTTAGTGAGCAGTACATGTATTTTCCTTTTCCGGAGACCGTTCTAGGGAGGTCTGAATTAATTTCTCGCAAATGGAGCAGACCACGCATAACTTATCTACTTAACACGAGATTCTTTCTTCCAACATTTGCAATGTAGTATCCTGCCATTCAAGACTTCCAAAGATTGTGTCTTACCCAGGAAACCCTTTTATTGGCAAGGGAAAAGGAAATGCAACTCTGTTGTGGAAGTTCGAGCTGCGGCCCACAGAGACATGGAAAAATTCTATTATTGAGGTGGTTTTCGGTGTCTGGAAGTATCCTGGATTCCTCAAGGAAAAACTTCTGCTCATCAACAACACTGGTGGAGAAAAAATACGAGAAAACTATGAGAAAAAGATAAGCTGTAACTTTGACATGTCTCTCTTGCAAGTGGCATTCACTTTGCATGATTTGGATAAAGACGATGAAAATGAGTATGGCATTCAAGTTGAGTTTGGTCTGAGTCGAGCTCCCTTAACGGATAGTGTCAAGCTTCGTCTTGAAGGTAAGAAGTCCTCGATTGTCGCGCAGATCTTTACACTTAAAGGATTGACGAAAAAGTTCTCACACATCATAGTTCTCACAGATAAAACTCTTGAATGGAGTTATACCCTTTAACCATGATCAAGTTTTTCATGCGAACAAGTCAAGAGGATAACAAACAACGGCGTAATTACGAGAAAATTTATTGATCGTTTATTTCATCCTGGTATTGGTTAAAAACTATTCTAACAAAATTCGCCATTTCATGCTGAATGTGATGTGCCGCGTTATTCAAGAGGCCGACTAAATATCCCAGGAGACTTTTTCACTCTGTACCTGCCACCATGTTGAACCGCTAGAGGTGGGAGGAGGTACATAGAATACAGGAAAAGATGTGTTTAACTGAATCAGATACAAAGGTAGCTCAAAGCATTGCACTGGAACGTGTCGATACTCACTGACTATGGGCAAAGCTTATCTGGTAATTTATTTTATCAAGGAAGACACAAATTAGTTATTGTATTCCAGATGGTTTCATTTATTTATTTATTTATTTATTCATTTATCCAGATCCACCAAAAATCAACACTCCTCAACAAAGAAACATCTCCGTTAGGGATGGTGATCCACTGGTGATTAAATGTCTTGCAAGTGGATTTCCGACACCAAACATAACGTGGAAAAAACATGGGAAAACTATTGGAAACCAAGCTCTTTATTTCATTTCTATAAAGACATTTGACAGCGGAGTTTACCTGTGTGAAGCTCATAACCAAGCAGGCAAAGACAGCACGGAAATCACTGTCAGAGTTGAGGATTCTGACAATCTTGAGTTCCCAACAACGCAGAGAGGTAAATTTAATAAATTTATGTTAACCCACCTTTAAAGTGGTGTTAAGTTAAAGAATGTATGTCCTCGTACATTGCTGATCTCTGGGAAATGACAACTGACTATTTTGATAAGGATGAAGAGAAGAATAAGTCTTTCTTATAAGTTACGAAACATCTATCGATATACGTTTCTCTAAAAAAGCAACCTGACATAACTCACCCAGTGGAGTCGATTTTAAATATGGTGTTGTTCTCCTTTCTCCATCTTTTTCCTTACTAACTATAAATTTTGTCTCTTCTTCCTTTTCAAGTTCGTGATTCGCCACCAGGAACATCAAAAGTTACTAGTCCTGTCTGGATAATCTGCTTAGTGGCCATTTCTGGATTGCTTATAATACTTATTCTGTTAACACTCTCAGAAATAATGTATCGCTCTCGAAGACGTCGCAAGAAGAAGATACCTTATAAGAAGCAAACTGACTTTAAAGGATCTCATGAATCTTTTTCTCCTATTACTGAACTGTAGCCAGTGTTAGGCATTCAGAAACATTAACAGACATTCGTCTGATATAGGTTATATCTGACCATGTAGTTGACCGCAAAAACTCGCTATACTTTTAAAGTTAAAATTTAGTCATAGAAGTATAAGAAGCTTGATTTGGCAGAGTGTCATGATCTGCTGCTAATGCACACTAATTATATCAAAATGTCGAGCTTCTTTTATTTTAAGCTTCGAAGATACCGCACTGGGAGTTCTCTTGCAGTTTCCAAGCATTCTCTCACAGAAGAAGGAGGGTAGAAAAAGAGAATTCTAGAATTAACTCCGACTATTCAACCGATGTTTTAGGGATATACGTCGACGTAGTTCAACTTTCAGTTTGATCGATCCACTGACATCGGATTTACGGAAGACCGAAGCTGATTGAGCGAGGCCGAAGGAGGCGCAGTCGATCGATGCAAATATCACGAACGTGTCCACATGTACGCGATTGGCAATTTTGAAGTGTAATCGTCGCAGATTAGAGAGCTATTTTGCAGCGAAAAACCCCTAACTAGCCGAATTAAGTTGCCTTTCACTTTTAACTTCTACGAGGAAGCGAAAAAAGATTTGTTGGATAGTTTCCCACCTCTTCCGTACACCAGCCATTCTCAAGATTTCTGAGAACGAAGGGAAAGAAAGTGACTTTAATAAACCCAGACTCGTCAAATGGAATTTGAAGTTATTTTACTTTAGAAGTAAACAATTACTCAAACTTGCATCTCACTTATTTCGTATTCAATTTTTGTTTTAAATTCAGAACTCAAGAAATAAGTAATGGGACGCCTTATATTATTAGATATAGACATTTTGAATATGATCCCATGTTGTGAGCTCATAGAGGACACAAAGTGACTCATCCTCGGAATTTCAAGGTTAACACTTTTCACACACGAATAGAAAGACTTCCCTTTTTCCCCAGAACCCAATAAGCCATAGTTTTGTCGCATGTGCAACCTCACGCCATGCTAAAAGATTGGAATGTTTATCGAAGATACTAAGAAATTCCTTCAAAGTCGGGCACCTATTTTTTCTCCCCTCTAGATCGTCCATTAGTATCATATATGCTATCATAACGCTGACCCCATTTTGTGAGCTCAAAGAGGATAGAGGACATATATAAAGCTCATTCTCGGAACTTCATGCACTAATAAAAACACTTCCCATTTTTCCCAGAACTCAAAAAGCTATTGTGTGACAGGGTCTTAACAGTATTAGTCAAAATGGGTCATGTGTAATGCGATGCGGCGCTGTTCTGTGCTCCTTTCTGCAGAGTCACTCTCAACGCGACCGGCCGAAATGAAGTTCTCCTTTTGCAGTTTGGTTTGTTTTTTAACTCTGATTCAAGGTAGGTAGACTGTAAATGTTTTGTGATGGTTCTAGTTTCATTACTGACGGTTTTTCTAACCGGAAATGGATACGGAAACCAAACGCTGTCCCAAATCCAAGCATCTATTTGTGTATCAAAACGTAATGGTGTAGGTAAAACGTGATCACTAATGGATGAACCGTGAGTTGTTGCAAAACTGAAACGTTAGACTATGCGAAATAAGTCGTTGTTGAGGAGAATTAAACATGATTCATTTACGAAATTTACTCAAGGTTTTGACTTTGCAAACGCTTCCAGCTTTTCTCGGAAACAAAACACACGAGTGAGGAACTTATTGCATGGTATTCAATAACGACACAATTTTATTGAATTTGAACGAGAACACACGATTTGAAACAATTGTGAATGAACATGGAAATGTTTGTAATAGTTTTCTCACTCGAATAACCGGGATGATCTCCGCTGTTTAGAATCGGAGTAACTATAACTGTAGTAAATATTAGAATTGCAATTTTTCGCTATGCGTTCATAATTATAGAAATGTATCCCCTTCGTAGTGAAAATTTGCTCAAATTCTTCTGCAAACCAAATTCCTGAGCCAAAATTGTGTTTGGCCGTGGAGAAATAGTTGAAATTTAAATATGTAAGAAGAATACTAGAAATGGTGGACAGAACTGAAAAACATCTGCGCATGTCGGGAACTTTCGCACGCATGAGACCATTGGAAACAGTAGACTGAAATGGCGGAATTTTTTAAATTTGAAAAGCGGTGCGGTTTTCTTTCAAGGTTAAGAAACAAGCAGAGAGATTAGGCTTACAACTATTGCTAAAGACTGTCCTTCAACAGGGACACAAAATTTATTTCGACATCATGTTTTCAGTGGATGAATTAGGAAATTGGAATTACCGCCATATCAATGAACACATGCTGAAGCTGTGGATTTGTGACCTGTGCATACGCTCTGAGACATCAGTAAGGAACTTTGTTTTGGAAGAGTGAATATACTATACCATTAGAAAACATTACTAGAATCTTAATAAGACTGAAATTAGATCAAATTAAATAAATATTGAGGATTACTTTAAGTCTCAAGTAGTGCTTTTTGTAACTGAATTTTGCAGCCACAGCGGCATCTGCTGGGAATGCTTGTCCTAACTCTACGGATCCAATTACTTACAATTCTGGAGAGGACGCAAGACTATTTTACAACAGGTCTACTCATGAGAATGAAAACAACTTTTTTGGCTATCGGGGATTCATAAATTTGTCTTTATTTGCCTTCATAAAGAAAAATCAATCAGAAGGCACTTGTTCTGGCCCGTCAAAGGAGATTTGTTTGAAGGGGAAGACAGAATTTAAGACGTGGAACCAAAGCCTTTTGATAATAAATATTTTCAATGTCACTGTAAATGATAGTGGACTGTACGCAGTATGGACCTCGTTCTCTGGTGTTTTCTCACAAGATGATAAAACAGAGAAATGTTTTCAAGTTATACATCTGAAAATAAATGGTAAGGAATTTTTTTTATACTTAAGCAATATTTTCAAGGCACATATCCACGCTGATATAATTCCAAAAATTGATTGTTTGGAAACTGGTGCTGGGTTGACATTTTTGCTCTTCATATCTTTTAAGCTAAAAACCAGATTTTCAAGGGAAACTCCCTTACAAATCTGAATTCGCTTTTACGAATTAAAGCAATATCTAGATATCATATAATCATTAAACTCTGAACTGGTTTATTGAAGGACATCTTGAAAAACTATTATACTAGATATGAATTTTCCCTCCAAGAATATCCAAGATAATCTCCCTGAGACTCAAAATTTCTCCATAAATCCGATTACAATTTCGCTCATACTGTAATATTTCTTAGGAATTACCACTTGCTGTTTTTCTTAAAATTCTATTGTTGAAAGTCCCAATTTGTTATTTCTAAGGTAACTCCTCAGAAACCAGCTCAAGTCCAACTCCTCACTCAACGCCACAGTCGACTCAGGTCTACAGCAGCAGTACAACTAGCTCTGGTAAGCGGTTCTTTCCCTAAATGTTTCCTTTTTTATTTTATGTTCGGTTTTATTCACTTGAATATCTATCTCGTTTAGCTAAATTCTCAGAGTGAATATTGTATCCTTTATTTTTTAGGCGCCAGCAATTCACCTAGGGCCTTACGAACATATAACAATCTTGTGCTGATGATATCAACCATTACTACAACTGTGACTATGAGTGTGAATCCTAGCATTTGGTTTTTTCAATTTATAAAGTCTCGTAAAATTTTTTAAGAGACTGCTGCACGATTGAGAAATAGAAGTAGTTCTGAAACAACTAGGAGAATTTGCAGCATGAACTCAGCTTTTTTAGTACAGACTTCTGTAGTTAAAATTACCTTCCAACTGTCATTTAGTTTAATCGTAACCGGTGTAAGTAAAAATAAATGCTATGATGTTCTAGGAGATGCATATGGTCCGCACGTGTTTTACAGATGTCAGTTGTGTAAGTACAATAGAATATCATAACTGTTGATTCGGCAAAATTTAAGAGTAAGGACCCATAAGACCCAATAGAGATTACGTAAAATCAAAATGAAAACGATAAGTCGTTAGCTTAGTTATAGTCACTCCTACAGTTGTACACAAATGAGGACTTGTCTCTTCTTGCTAAATGGCTAAATTGCAACAACTTAAAAGTCAACTCAACCAAGACACAAGCCATGGTCCTTGGATCGTCAAATTACAACTTTGACCTGTCATTGGACAATAGCAATATCGAAATAAAGGACGAACTCAAATTTCTTGGTGTGACAATTGACAGTAAATTATCATATACTACTCATATTAAGAATATCCTTTGTACAATACATGCCAAAGCTGGTGCTCTTAGAAGAATATGCAACTTTATCGATAGTAAAACTGCTATGAGAATATATAAGGTCTATATACTTCCTCATTTTGATTATTGTTCTCCTCTTTTTGTTGGGCTGTCAAGCACCTTATCTGATAAAATTGAACGTACACATTTTTATATACTTAGAACATTATTTAAATTTCCTAAATCAATTGAGTATGCTGAGTTATTAAGTCAGCTTAATCTTGAATCTATCAAACAGAGACGATTGTCTCAATCCCTAGTTTTTATATTCAAGGGATATCA